CAACATACATGCCAAAAGGGGATTTCAATGCTTAGGAGGTGAGAGGATTCACCAGACAGAGTGGGGAGCAGAACAGGTGGACTGATGAACTATACTACTGAGGGGAGCAAAGCAGCGGGTGGGTCAGGAGAGGTCTGCTGCGCCATGTGGGTCCCCTCTGGGGTGGGGATCGAACTCATGCACAAGTGGCTTTAGCTTCTTAGTGCTGTGCTGTAACCCGCTGTGCCACCAGGGAGGGCCACATCTGACATCTTTAAAGGAGTAACAACAACAACAAAAACCTCCTCTTTGTTCTCTTTGTTCTCGCCTATATCTCTGGACTGTATCCCAGTTCTTGTATGCATAGATATATAAATGTTTTTTTAAAAAAATAATGTGTTCCGGCCCTCCCTGGTGGGGCAGCGGGTTAAAGCACAGCACTGAGAATCTGAAGCCACTTCCGCAAGAGTTCGATTCCCGCCTGCCGCCTGCCCGGAGGAGACCACATGGCGAGCCAGACCTCTCCTGACCCGCCCGCTGCTTCCCTCAGCAGTGTACTTCGTAGATCTGCCTGTTCTGCTCCCCACTCTGTCTCTGGTGAAGCTTCTCACCGCCCCTGAGCCTCTGGCCTGTACCCCAGTTCTGTATGCACAAATAAATAAATCTTTAAAAAAAAATAATATGTTCCATTTTCCTTAATAAAGAAGATATGAACTCACTCAACTACCCAACACAATACAAAACGCACAACAACTATCTACCCTCTGAGGACAGCCCACACAGCACTGGGCAGGGCTGAGAAGGGAGCCCCTGTGACTGCCTAGGGGCGTGAGTGAGTCCACTGGGCCCTGGTGGGTCTCACCACTCACTGCTTGAGTCTTCTCACAAGAACGAGAGCAGCTCACAGTCTCCTGCTAGTGTCACTGGGACATCTTCTGAAGATCAAAACTGTGCGAAGCAAAGGGATGAGGCTGCTGACCTGCCAGGCCCAACCCGTGGCTCTGGCCCCAGCTGAAGGGCCTCTGAAAACAAAGGGCACTCTGTGTACCTGGGTCAGCCCGCAGGTGAGTGGGCAGGGGGAGGGGCCAGCTGGCCCACAGGACTGAGAACCTGGCTTTTGTGGTGCCGGACTCCAGGGAGGTGGGAAGCTGGTTCTCTGGGACAGGCCCCCTTTGGTAAAGTGGAAGGGCACACAGGTTCGCTTTCCCGCCCCTCTGCTTTCCTGCTTCCACTGACAGCGAGCTGCCACGTTTTGCTTCCTGGCCCTGCAGAGCGATGGGCCACCCTCTCTGTGAAGAATAAGCCTGCTGTGGCTGTCTGATGCCCTTTCAGCCCTTCCGGGTTAATCTTGGGCTGGGACCAATCCACGTCCTCAGAGCCGTAGGCCCACTCTGGGCCTACAAGAGGAACTGAAGGGGCCAGCTGGGTGTGGGACTTGCCCCTCTCTGAAGGTACCCCACTTTCAGGACCCTCCTCCCCAGTGATTGCTCCTCTCCTCATGTCTGGCTGTGACCCCCCTGAATTGACTTGTTTCTGCATTTTCTGATTAGGCAATGTCCAACCTATCCCCTGAGAAGCCTTTCCTGACTCACAAAGTGGGACAGAGTCCATCTTGGGGCTCTCACTGCTCCCCAAATTTCTCCTTCTATGACATCCATCGATATTCACTGTGATGCTGGACTGAGTGTGGTGGGGGGATAGCGCCCTCCCTACTGTCCACTCAGGCCAGCCCCACGGACAGCCGCATGTGAATTCAAAAGCAGACAAGACCGTGTGTTTTCTGCCCCAGCGCAGTGGGGATTTACCCACAGATGCTTTCCTTCTTCTAGACTCAGTGCAGAAGGGCCAGGCTGTTGGGGGCGGCATTCAAAAGGCGGAGGAGGGCGACCCAGCACTGGCCCTGAGCCTCATTGGCCAAGACCTCACCCGTTCTGGTGTTTCCTCAGGGCCAGGGCTAGGGTGCAACTCCCCACTCCCCAGGACTGTGTGCCCTGCGCCCTCCTGGTGCCACCCTCTGGCCGGCCCTGCCATGGCCATGGGCACAGCACACATGCCAGCCAGCTGCCATCACATTCTGCAAACCTGAGGAGAAGCCCAGTTTCTGCTTCCTCACTGCACCAGGGCAAGTGGAGGAGCTGGACATCCCAGGCCTCTTCTCAAGCTCTGAAGTAGGCGCCACTGCCCTTCCCAGTTATATGACCTTTGGCCGGTTACTTACTCAGAGTCCCCAATTTCTTGCCTGAAACGTGAATGTCACAACATACATGCCAAAAGGGGATTTCAATGCTTAAAGGCGAGAACTTAAGTACTTAATATGGGGCTTAGAATTTAGGACATTTTAAACAAACGCTTTTTTCTCTTTGCTGAACCATTCTCGTTGTTAGATACCTCTGGCCATTTGGAGGGCTTGCTCCCCACAGAAATAGGCCAGTGGCTCTCAAAGGCGAGGCCTTCCGGTCACGCGTGCAGTTGAGGGAGCCTGCAGGCCCCGTCCTTACCTGCGGTCCCCAGGCTCAGCAGCACAGCCACCCAGAGGACCCAGAAGACAGTGAGGATGGCAAAAGTCCACAGTGGCTGGAGCAGCAGGAAAGGAGAGCTGCTGATGGCTTTCCTTGTGACTTGGAAGAGTTCCACTACCAATTTTATTCTCTTTCTGAGGACAAAAATCAAGACGAGCAGGACTGCCTGGTGAGAAAGGGGTTGAGGAAATTACTCAAAGTAATGGAGATTATTCAAATATAACCTCAGTGACTGGCTACTTTTACTGTGTTTGAATAGATAATGGCTCACATGCTAACTGAGCACCTACTATGTGCTGGATCCTGAAGCTGTAACAGTGAATAAGACACAGTGCCTGCCCTAAAGGAGCTTGCAGTCTGGTCAGAGATCATGAGGAAATGAGAAGTCCCACAGGACCAGGGAACTGTCCTGTCCCACCCCCACCTCCTTCCATGCACACAAAGTAGCAACATCCGCAGTGAGAGCTGGAAGGCTCCTCAAGGGCATGGACAGAACACAAGCCTTGCAGGAAGCAACATGGTTGTGTAACAGGGGGGCCCCAGGAAAAGGAGAGTTCCAGGTTCCCTGCCCCACCCAGAAGGAGAGTGGAGCTGACCTGGGAGTAGAAGAATCTGGAGAGGAGAATGAGGTGGAAGGAAGCAGGATGGAGAGACAGAAGGAGGCTGAGGGAGCCACATGGAGCAGAGAGAGACATGTGAAGAAGCGACTCTTGTTTTAGGCCCTGGACTGGTTAAGGCAGATGTGGGTGAGAGACCCGTGCGGAGGTGACTATGGCAGTGTTTATCTTGATTTTGATTTTGCTCTTTTCCTCCCAGACCTGTCTGGCCATGTCTGACCCTTTTCTATGGGTCCCGGCCAGAAGGTGCTTTAGGCTTGTGGCAGCTTTCAGTCCTTGCTTTGGACCAATCCCTTTTGGGTGGACTTTGGCCCACGAGGGGATGGGTAACTTCAGGTGCTTGATTTAGAAATTCTATTCTTTGTCTTTTCTGTATTGCACACTCATTGTAGTAAAGTTCCTTTGCCATTAAAGCTCTTATATCTTGTCTTGATGGCAGAACATAATTAGAGCAGGCAGGTTTTGGGGTTCAGTGGTGCCCCTCTCTCCCTGCCCTGTCACAGTTGTGCCTCCAAAAAGCTGTGCCTTCTCTTCTGGCTGTGGCCTCCCCGCATATAAATACCAAAGAACAAACAGCCCTTCACCCCACCTTCCTGTCCAGTCACTGCCAACTCCCTCACACCCAGGCTTCTTCCAAGGCACCTCTACACTCACCACCAACACTTCCACCCCCAACTCATTCTTCAACATCCAGACCTCATACTCTGGGACCTCCCTCCTGAAGTCTGGGGCCTCCCCTCTGTGGAAGCTCATGGAAATCCCCCCAGTCCTCCTGGCTCTCTCTTTTATTCACACTTTCCACCCTGCACTTCTCTGGTTGGGCTTCCTTCTGACTCTCCCCTGCTGCTTCAGTTGTCATTTCTTGGGAGGGCTTGGGGGGTATTTCTTACTCCTTTATGGTCTTAGCATCCTTCCTAGATGCTGGTAACTTGCAGATGGAATCCTCTAGCCCCGCTTTCTCAAGGCGCTGGCGAGTCAGCCTGTCCGGCACTGACCAGGGTCTCAGTGTCATCTGTTCTGAACTCATCACCTGCACCCTGACACCTCCACTTTCCCTGCTATATCCCCTATCTCATGTGGCCCCAATTCTGGACTTTCTGAGGACGAGTCACAGTTCTTTCCTTTTGCTTCCACCTCATCCTATACTTACCCTATTTTACTTACCTAAGATAGGGTAAGTATGGGATAAGAATATTCAACCTATTCTACTATAAATGTTGGTATTTGTAGGAATTTCCCTTTTGGGGAAACCCTTTGAGGACAGAACCACCCCTGCTGTCAGTGGAGGAGCGGGGCAACCAACGGATTCAACCCCAATCACCTTGGATTCAGTCTCCTGATAGGTTTCGCAATCGATCTCCTCTCTTCATTCTCACTATTGGTCAACAGCTCAAGTCTCATTCTCTCTCATCTAGACCCCAGTCAGCTCTTGATAAGCCTTTTGATTTAATCCCCTTGACCTCTGACCCACAGATAAAGCACGTTTTGTAAAAAGTAGAGCCAAGCATGTTCTTTCTCTGCTCAAAATCCACCAACAGTTCCCCACTGCCTTAGCTAAAGGCCAGATATTCTCACTGAAGACCAGGACATTCCTGGGTGGGCAGACGCTTGCTGCACTTGCCTCTCCTGCGCCCACCCTGGGCACGCTGGCAGGCCCCTTGTTTGTCCATCTGGTCCCACACAGGGCACTCCCTGGGCCTAACATGTGCTGCGCTTCCAGCTGCACCCTAAGGAGTGCACATTAAATGGAGGAAAGACACTTCTGAAGATGGAAATTTTTTTTTTAAGATTTATTTATTTATTCATATAGA